TCAATCACCAAAAAGGGGGAGATTGAAAGTGCATCTAGCCCTTTAGTGGGTTTTCGATGATTGAATGACAACGTGATTAAAGGACTAACCCGTTTGCTAAGTGTGGACAGGTAATAGGTTATCTCACAGGTACTTAATGAAAGCCAAAATGATGTGTTGTTGTGTAAATAATCTAGTTCAAGCACAAGACAACAATGCAAATAGAATTCATGCAAAGGCTTATTTATTGTGGGATTTCCATGTTCTATGTGAAAGCAAGCTTGTAAGAATTAATTAATGAGACATAAGGGATTGCAAATGGATTGGTCTCATATTTGAAGCTTGCTAAATTGGAATGAAAAAGATAACAATACATGAATGGATGATTCAACACAAGATGTGACTTGATGGCTTGAGATGGTGAGGATAGCAAGGAAAGGCTTCGAGGTACTAAGCAAGGGTGAAGGGCAAGCAACGGCTTGGCGGCCGAAGAACCTAGTTAGGGTGAAGAAGGAAGTACTTGCATTTAGTTGAGGTACTAATCAAGCTATGATGGCCACATTTATGTGGACGATCAAATCACTATTGGAGTGTTTGATGGAAGTGACTTGATACATTTTGGAGTTATTCATATTTGATGAATGGAATCAAGTCACGTGCTCAAGATGGCTATGCTCAAGTGAAAAGATCATTATCAACATGATAGCACCCCTATTTGATGAAGATTGAAAGAGACGGCATCAATTCAAAATAGATCAACTCAAGTGGTATAAATTCATTTTTCCTTTTATCTTGAGTTTAATAGGTATGACGTACTATTAAGAGGGATGCATGATGTTGATAGATAATGTTTCATAAGTGCTCAAGCCAACCCATGTGAGTTTTGAGTATTTGAGCGACAAAAGAGCTAACTTTATTTTTGCTGGTCTGGATGTGTCCAGTATTCACCTAGCAGTGGTAAAATTATTGTTGTCGGGTTGGTTCGTTGGGGGTTCCGACGTAAGTCGGGAATTCCGACGTAAGGGAGTCCCGGCAATGGTCGGGAGTTCCGACGTCTCGCACTTTAACTGTCTTGGAGGGTTCAGTGTTCTGGTCATACCGGACGTGTCCGGTATTCATGACCAGAGGCCAACGGCTAGTTTTCAAAAGTCTTGAGGGTCGGGAGTTTCGGCATGCGTCGGGAGTTCTGACACCTCACTAACTTTAACTCAGTTACATGGTTTTCAAATTTGCTGAGGGTCGGGAGATCCGACGTGAGTCGGGAGTTCCGACGGTCGGAAGTCCCGGCATTCATCAGGAGTTTCGATGCCTCACAACATCACTGTAACTTAGTTACCGTTGGCGCAGTGTAAGTAATACCGAACGTGTCCGGTATACATACCGGTCCGGTATGGCAACGGCTAGAAAACGGCTACTTTTTCAAGGGGGCTATAAATACCCCCAAGCCTCCACCTTTGGAGGCTGTTGATTCTGCTGACACACACACACGTTTTTGAGCCTTGCCAACTCTCCCAACACTCTCTTAGTGAGTGTTTGATCAAATTTGCCAAATCAAATTGTGGGTTGAGTGAAATTCAAAAAGAGAGCAATCCAACCACTTGAGCACTTGTGCATATTGTCAATCTCGTGATTCGCATTTGTTACTCTTGGACTCTTCGGTCATAGACGGTTAGGCGTCGCCGGAGAGCACCCGAGAGATTGTGGTGTGCCTCGGAAAGTTTGTAACGGTCGATTCCGCCGCCTCGGAATCATCTAGTGGAAGGAGGAAAAGGAGTTGGAAAAGACTCCGGCTAGAGTGACCTTCGTGGTACCCTCTAGGGATGACCTTCGCTGGGTCGCCCGCAGCCCCCTCAACGGAGAGTAGGACTCGAACGAGTCCGAACTTCGGTAAAACAAATTTCGTGTGTCAATTCGCATTTCATTTGATATTTGTGTTGCTCCAGCTCTTGTGCAGGTTCTCTGTGTATATTGATATCTCTAGTAGGTACCTGCAGTTTGGTTTGAAGATAGAAATCGAAAGGAGCAAGTTCGGGGTTGTTCTGCAGAAACCGTGCATACCGGACACGTCCGGTATTAGAGCTCTATGCTGAAAATATTTATTTTCAGTTCTAACTTTGTGTTGCAGGGTTGTAGCTTCTAGATATATTCTTTTATATCTTGTACACTGTGTGGCTAACTTGTGAGGGGTGGTATTACTCTTATTTGGAGTTTCCATTTTGGAAACTCCCTTTGCTAATTGTTTCCGCATTTAAAGGTGTTAATTTTCAGAAACGCCTATTCACCCCCCTCTAGGCGGCATCCTAGGTCCTTTCACAAATATATGTGGAAAAAGATAAGATAGGGCATTGTAGAATTTGATTAATCATCACAAGTAGATTTTGCTATGGTATGCACAAAGAACCCATAAGGAACATCTATGTAGGGATCACACCTGCACAAGATATATCCAAACTAGACATTCATGTCTTTGGCATGCCTATGGAAAACAAACCACTTCAGGTCCCCACCACTCCTTCCCCTGGCGTGTTCTATGCCTCACCATCTTAGCTTGTCCTATCACCGAACCTCTAAGTTGCCAAGTTGCTCATTCCCCCTTTTTCGTGGTTGGAAAGTTTTGGCATCACCATTTACGTCAATAAAAGCAAAAACAATCAAACAAAATGTGTCAATTCTAACTGTCATGACTCTTTTCTGGGTGTTTTCATGGCAGTGACCTAGGAGAGGAACATATTTCAGTTGCTGAGATTATATCTAATTAAATCACAACATGAATAACAGCTTTTGAATCTTGCAATTGATCTATTGGTTACCTAATGTGCATGCTTGAGAGGGTCGCGAGCAGGGATAGAGCTAGGACCGCCACTAGGAGTTGTGGCACTATTTCAACCCCGAGAATGCCAGCTAACTTTATTAAGTAACGGCTCGAACTCATGCCATCAACAAAGGCTCACCACCCTCCCAAGCATATCTCCATTTGCATAGCACTCTTCATTGCTCTTTCTTGGCTCCACCCCTAGTCACGAGCAGCAAGCCATTCACATTTGTCCTTGGTGAGAAGTTAGTCAAATAGAAACAAATGTGGTGACAGCATGATCGATATTAGGATAGAGTTGCATGGGTGGAAGGCTCGACTGCTCGAGAGATCAGCAGCTTATTGACGTTAGTAATAGTTCCAAAGTAGACATATGAGCTAGATCATCATGAATCTAGTGATGTTCGTTGCAAAAAAAATGAATCTAGTGATGTTTTAGGGTAAAATAGGATAAGTATGAATTCGCGAGAGAAAGTATAATATGATCAAAAATTTAAATGTATATATGAGGGCCAAAGGATATTAATTTGTAAGAGAACTTGGACGGTAATTTTATTGATGAACGGAGCTCATCAACGGCCTTTTCGCTGGTTGGTTTCTGGGCTGGTTTGGGCTGGCTGGTGCTGGTTTGTTGTGAGAGAAAAACACTGTTGGCTGGCTGGTTTGGGCTGGCTGAAACCAACAAACGAACAGGGTGCAAAACTCAAAAGGAAACTAAAGATTAATTGGCCTCATTAAAAAATTGTACAACCATGAGATATTAGTGAGTGAGAGAGAGAGAGAGAGAGAGAGAGAGAGAGAGAGAGAGGACGATAGCTTTAAACCAGCGAATTAGTCAATATTCAATAATAGCTATGTAAGTTCAGACTTCATACCGATGGATGCAGTGGAGGTAGATGGAGAGAGGAAATTACAATAAAATAAACAAAGTTATTTAAAAAATATTTTCGAGTAAAAAATAAATTGATGAAAAAGATATATACCCATATTATTTACATGGGCCACCTTACTAGTTTATCGCCTAAAGCAGAGATGATTTGTCTCATCGATCTTGTCTTTGTCAATTCGTCAAATATATATAAATTCCAGCATATAGTAGTATACACAAAACTTCCTACAAATAAGGAACGGGGGGTGATCCTTTGCTAGGCCTATGTGATCTTCAAACCCAACCACCCTTCGTTGCCTGATGATGGTGATTATTGGTGCACGCCCCTCCGTCGTCACACGATCAGACAAGAACCTCTACCCAAAAGCAGACTGTAATGAATAGCTTCATGAGAAACCCTGCTCCTTCCGGTTGTGACAACAACACAATACCAGCCAAAGTTGTGGCCACACTGGCCACTGGCCACCCTCTTCTTTTCTTTTTCCTTTTGTCTTTCCCCCTATCTTCACATGCACCTTAATTATTCCACGTTTCGCCTGAATTTGTTGTTTTGTTCGGGCGATGTGTGGTCCATCTATCGTTCTTCAAGATCCATGCTTTGAGTTGAGTGCTTTAGTACGAAAACAGGTGCAGATCGTTGGATGCTACGTGTCACCTGAAACTAGCCATATTTTAGACACCTGAAATATAGCAGGTCCTAATTATTCGGCTCCGAGACCACGTTAATTACATCTCACGCATCAACATGAAGGATAACCAATGCAAATGTAATGTTCACTCCAACCACATATGCATGGATCTCTTTTCCCACCAGACTCATACATATACGCTTCATCCACCTCCAAAAAAGTCACACATCTTATTTTTCGATGAGCTAGCCAATGAGAATGAAAAAAATAGTATTATCATGGCCCCGTTCAGCTTGCTGAATCTTGGCTGAAACTAGCTGAAAACACTGTTTTGGCTGAAATGTTGCGAGAGAAAAATATTGTTCCAGCTGAAAAAAGAAGTCAAACAAGTCAAACGGGGCCATGTGTAGTTTTAAATACATTTATTAAAAAATATATTGCATGATTAATTTAATAATATTTATTTAGCATCATATATATTAGTATATATAAATTGTATATATTTGGTTAAATTTGGGATTCGTTGTGACTTTTAAAAAGTGAAATGTGGGACGGGCGAGTATGTATATATATTATCGTCTCACGTTGTGATGTACCACTAGTCCACTACCACATCACATTAATTACTGATCGACAAATGCTACGTGCAGCTGGCCTGTTTGCTCCGGCCGCCGCCGCGCCGTCATCAGCTATGGCGCCGGTCAACACTGCTTCTAGTGGTGGCAGCGACGAAGCGATGTACCCGCTGAACGCGGAGTCGTACCGCCTGCTGTGCAAGATCGGGAGCGGCGTGAGCGCGGTGGTGTACAAGGCCGTGTGCCTGCCACTGGGCTCGTCGGCGGTGGTGGCCATCAAGGCGATCGACCTGGAGCGGTCGCGCGTCGACCTCGACGGCGTGCGGCGGGAAGCGAAGGCCATGGCGCTGCTATCCCACCGCAACGTGCTCCGCGCGCACTGCTCCTTCACCGTGGGGAGCCACCTGTGGGTGGTGATGCCCTTCATGGGCGCCGGCTCGCTGCACTCCATCCTGCGCCACGGGTTCCCCGGCGGCCTGCCGGAGCCGTGCGTGGCCGTCGTGCTCGCGGAGACGCTCCGCGCGCTGTGCTACCTCCACGGGCAGGGCCGCATCCACCGCGACATCAAGGCGGGCAACATCATTGTGGACTCGGACGGCGCCGTCAAGCTCGCCGACTTCGGCGTGTCGGCGTCCATCTACGAGACCATGCACGCGTCGGCGTCGGCGGCGACGGCGGCGGCGCTGGGGCTCGGCTCGTCGGCGTCGTGCTGCTTCAACGACGTGGCGGGGACGCCGTACTGGATGGCCCCCGAGGTGATCCACTCACACGTCGGGTACGGCATCAAGGCCGACATCTGGTCGTTCGGCATCACGGCGCTGGAGCTCGCGCACGGCCGCCCGCCGCTCTCGCACCTGCCGCCGTCCAAGTCGATGCTGATGAGGATCACCAGCCGCCTCCGCCTCGAGGAGACCGCCGCCGTGAGTAGCAAGAGCAACAAGTTCTCCAGGGCGTTCAAGGACATGGTGTCCGCGTGCCTCTGCCAGGAGCCGGCCAAGCGGCCGTCGGCGGAGAAGCTCCTCCGCCACCCGTTCTTCAAGGCCTGCGACCGCCGCTCCAGGGCCTTCCTAGTCCGCAACGTCCTCGCCGTCGTCCCGAGCATCGAGGAGCGGTGCAGCAAAGACGACGACGACGCGGGTAGTGATCTCTGCGGGTGTGTCGGTTCCAGCGGCGGCGCACGCTGCGTGTCGCCGTGCCGCCGCCACGCCGACGACGTCGTCGTCGTCAAGAACCGACGGATCAGCGGCTGGAACTTCAACGAGGACAACCTGGAGTTTGATCCGACGACCGAGGACCCGGCGGTGGAGAAGAGGTGCGTCCCGTTTGAGAACCCGGTGGAGCTGGACGACAGTGACTCCTCCACCGGGGATGGAGATACACGGTCGTCGCCGCAGCCGCCGCATGGGGATGACGCCGATCACGATCACGGGAAGGCGGCGGAGGCGGTATGGTTTAAGCAGCGCCAGCAAGTGGTGACTCGGCAGCTGATGGCCGTCCTGGAGAGCCTGGAGAAGCAAAGGGACATGGTGACGCACGTGTTGCAACGCACCGCTGGCCGCTTCGATGACGTCGTCGACAGCGGCAATGGTGGCGCCTGTGGCGTGACGGCTCCAAGGGAGGAGAGGGAAGAGATGCTGCTTGGGTACGTCCGGCAGCTGGAGCACACGGTGGAAGACCTGAGGAAGGAGGTCGAGGAGGAGATGGCCTGGAACGCCCGGTTGGAGAAGATGCTGCGAGAGAGGGTTGTCATTAGCGACGATGAGAAGAAGATAAACTCATCTCATACGTCAGCTGGAGATGGGAGCAGTTGATGCTGTTCCGGTTCCGCTTGTTCATCAAGGTCAAGTGTATTTCACGGCATCACTCCCGCCATTCTAAATTGTAAAAATTCTAGACTAGATATATAGTAAACTATACATCTAATCATATGTTATGTCCAGATATATTATTATCTTATAGTTACACAACACAGGCGATTTAGGATACGAGCATCGAGTGCCGCGGCAGGGTTTACGTTATCCATGGACTTTGCGGGAACGGTGCTTATTAGGGATTTGATGGCTCAGAAGGCCGTTGTGAGGTCCATGGCTTAGCTCGCGGGCGTCGGCCAGGGCAGAGTTGTAGCTCGCATCCATGGACGAAATTATGAATAGGAGAATTCGTTTATAGGATAGAAACAAGGGGAAAGAAGAACTTTAAGGCCCCTTTAAAATGCAGGAATTTCACAGGACTCTGCAACATGACTCATCGTACAAGGTGTTTACAAATGCCTTCAAAAGTGGTCAAAATCTCCTCAAACTTTTTGAGGCGTTTTTTGAGAACGCCAGATATAACATGGACCCAAAAGGTCTTTTGAGGTTCTTTTCCAGAATGCCTTTTAATATCAACATATATAGGTATTTTCTGGCTGCCTAGAATACTTCCTGAGGCGCTCTGGAATTTGCCTCTATAACTTCTTAGAGACAATCTGTACAAGGCCTTCAAACATTGATGGAGGTGTTATTAGAAATGACTCCAAAACCAGGTTATCCATGCAGGATTTTGCTACCAATATCAAATTAGCACAATCCCAATGAGAGCACACATTGACACTGGATGCACTACTACAGAAAGTTTAATCACCGCTAGGACTTTTGCCGCTGGTTATGAGACACTTATCACCGCCGGTCCATAGCCTGAGGGGCCCCTTCTAGGCGACCTACCGGTGGTGATAAACGGTTTTCACCACCCGCCTGACGTATGATCTGGCGGTGAACACTATGCCAGTCTTTGCCACCGCATCGTACGCCGATCCGGTGGTGGAACATTTTAGCACCGCCGGCTAATCATCCAATGCGCGACACATGAAGAAACCGGCGGAGATGAGAAGTTTCACCGCTGGTTTCAAGATGGAAGCTGGTACCATCGTTAGAGCCGGCGGTGAAACAAGCTAGCACCGTCGGTTCGCCTTATGATCCGACTATGGAAATTGCAATGATTCGAAACACCGCATCGTCCGCCGTGCCGGCGGTGATAAGAGGTTTCACTGCCAGTTTATTCTGGCACTGAATACCACATGCTTCGATCCGGTGGTACAAACAGATATCACCGTCGGCTGCCCATTTAACCCGGCGGTGGTAAATGGCTGGAAGAAAACCCCTCGTCCCTCCTCTTCTTCTTCACTCACTCAACTTCTTCGGCCACGGCTCCTCCCACCATTTTTTGTGATCATTTGCTAGTGAAGGCTGTCAATTTTCGAAGGATGTTCTAAGGTTGGTAACTAACAACCCTTTTCGTGTAGCTAGCTTAGTTCCTATGGTTAAATTGTAACATAAATCATCCTTCTTCCTTTTAGAGTGCCTTTTGATTTTGGAGGCGGCTTCTGATTCTTGATTGTTGCACGCACACCTAATTACCCTGTGGTCAGTATGTATCCTATAGTTTGATTGTATTAAATTGAATGACACATTAGTTAGTAGACCTATGTCACAAAAGTTGTGTTTTCACAGATGGATCGTGGATGAATGTACTTGGAAACTATGTCTGCCCCATTCGTGGAAGGCATTATCTCTTTTCTGAATGCCGCCATGGTGTATGTACCTAATAATGTATGGAGTAAAGGATACATACACTGCCCATGTGTTGATTGCAGGAATGAAAAGAAGTTTAAGAGCATCGAGCTGATACGATTTCATCTGATACGTAGGGTTTCATGAAAAACTATTAGGTTTAGAACAAGCATGGCGAGCAGGGTGAGAACTTACCTAAGGAAACCGTCCAGACACCCTTGCAGGAGACAGTTGTCGGGGACCGAATACTGGGGTACCCAAAGAGGAGGAGCTAATAACCATCAAACGTTTATAGTTCTGAACAGACAAAAACGCGACTATGCCTCTTGCCCAACGATCGAGGGATAACTCCATCTTGTTCGACCCCCAGAGGTTGGCCCCGCCTCATCCGACCCCTGAGGGTTGGCTTCGCCTCGTCCGACCCCTGAGGGCCAGCTTTGCCTCTCCCGACGACCGGGGGCAGACTCCGCCTCGCCCGACGTCCGCGGGCTGGCTCTGCCTCGCCCGACATCTGAGGGTAGGCTCCGCCTCGCCCGATGTCCGGGGGCAGGCTCCGCCTCACCCGACGTCTGAGGGCTAGCTCCATCTCGCCCGACGTCCGAGGGCAGGATCCGCCTCACCCGACGTCTGAGGGTAGACTCCGCCTCGCCCGACGTCCAAGGGCAAGCTCCGCCTCACCCGACGTTTGAGGACTAGCTCCACCTCGCCCAACGTCCGGGGACTTGCTCCGCCTCGCCCGACATCCGAGGGTAGGCTCCACCTCACCCGATGTCTGAGGGCTGGCTCCGCCTCGCCTGACGTCTGTGCGCTGCTCCTTCATAACTACACGTGCAGATAAGGCGGGGCACTCAAGTCAACCGTAATACCGAGGACCATACCCTGCATGTCTGCAGAAAAGTACCATCAGGATATGACCAGACGGGCGCTTTAAGCCCTTCCATGCATGTCAGAGCCCAAACAGTGTTGCAGGCACCAACATTTATCCTACAGTGTTATGGGCGCCGGCATTTGCCCTCGGACACAAATCCTGATGGAAACATACGACAACCACTATGGTCTAGGAGGAAACTCATGTCATCTACAGTAACGAACGCGGGGCCTCTGCGCCATCTGCTCCCCGTAGGGTCGTGGCTCGGCACCCTGGTGCGTCGCGCCGCCCGCCGGGGCGGGATGGGACGTGACCACTTGCTGAATGAAGCCAAAGCACGGCCCTATCAGGATCAGCGACCATGCTATCCCTGGCACCATCTGTCGTGTCATCAGGGCAGGCTCAAAGGAAAAGGAAGACCCGGCACCTTCGAAGGACCTTCTTTGCCTCTGGTTTTTCTTCTTTCTCCCATCTGTAATCCCTGCTCCCCCTTGATCTATAAAAGGGAAGGCAGGGCACCCCACTAAAGGGGGATCGATTTTCACATACATCACACATAGTTGAGCAACAACCGAGCTCTCAGCGCCCACTCGACCTCTCCATCAGAGACTTGGGACATGTCCCTCTCTCGCCCATTTGTACCCCCTACTATGAACCTTTCAGTGCTAATAACATGAGCAGCTACCGTAAACTGGATGTAGGGACATTCTGCCCGAAATAGTATAAACCTTGTGTCTTTTAACACACCATCCGGGTCAAACTCGCAATAATACAAATTTACTAGTTGATGTTTACTCGAAACACCGATAGTTGGCGCACCAGGTAGGGGACCTTTGCGCATTCTGACATTAACATCAGGCCATGGATGGCTAGCCACGGTATCTGTGGTAGAACCTCCTAAATTATAGGGGCCACATGCACCTGTCACTGTCCAACGACCTTTGACATCTATGCATATGTTTCGGTAACTTAAGAAGACTGTCGGGTGTCCTCGGAGAACCTCGAATCATCCACCATTTCCGAGCAGGATCATATGACAGAGTCATTGCAGTATTACAACATTTATTCAAATATCTACACTAGAGAAAATCAGCGGAAGTCTTACAATAACTTAGTTTACAAAACAGTAGTTTCAAACCTTACGACTAAGTTCAATAATTATTACAAAACATAGTAGTGGAGTGGCATTATAACATAATACAAACACACAAATAGATTGTCCTGCCCAAGGGCCACCCATTTACTTATCATCATCAGAATGAACAACAGTCATGCAGCACGGTCCAAAGCAGACCTGCTCATGAGCCTCACTTGCAACAAGGGTCAACGAACCCTGAGTACAAAAGTACTCAACAAGACTTAACCGAAATAGAAACTGATAGAACTCAGGAATGCAGGCTTAGGGATTCAAGGTATGGCTTTAGCAATAATCAAAGTTCTTTTGCGTAAAAGCTCTTTAACAAAATTCTTTACTTCAACATATAAAACTTTATAAGAACAACATATGAATCTGCCATGATCCGTAATGAGATCATGAACTTCATATCAAACTCTTTCTCAAACCTTACTCGAGTTCCAGTTATTAAACTACGATGATGAACAGAGAGTTGAGTCTCCATAACCGAGGAGCAATGACGATTCGAACCGATTAAAACCCAGCTGGGAATTCCAGACCACACGACATATGCAGGTCCCCGACCTACATATACCAACCTACCCTCAGGTCCTCTAAAACAAGAATGGGTCCACGCCACCCGAGAATACAGTACTCCACCAATCCAGCCGATTGCCATGTGGGTACACGCTATTCTCGCCATCTCTCCACTCCTAGTGCGCGAGTAGCCATTCTCGTAATAGAATAGCCAAGTTAAGGCTTACCGGAGTATGCAGTTAGTACTACAAAGTCTCATCTCACACAGTTCAACAATGGACGGGCCTTAATCGACACAGGCGGAAAGAACCCGCTCACAAGACATCCATGTCCTGTGGCTCTCACACACCGAGTCCGCCTGGTCTAGATTTATTACTCCACATGCTCATATTTCATGATCACATAAGTAACCAAGCGTAATCAAAGATCCATTTAAAACTCATAGGTGACAGGTAATCACCCGACTTTTATCGGTCTAAGCATGGCTAAGCATAACTAGACATTTTCGAAGTAAAACTGGTAACAAGGTAGATATGGAAAAACAAGGTTGGTGATGCACCAATTAGGTTTTCACTTAACTCCTAATCACTTAATACAGTAAAGAAAAGAAAAAGCGAAATCAATTTGTAAAACACAAGGTAGGTTTAAATGCATCCGAGGCTTGCCTTGATTCACGGAAAAGTCTGGTTCTGGAGTCGTTCCACAAATATCAAATCCGACCTCAACAGGCGCATTAACTTCCTT